GCCATCTATAGAACGTCAACCATCTACATTTGCAAGTGGGAGCGTACGCGGATCATAGGATGATATGCGCTGAATAACATAATTTGCGATTATTTTAAGCCAAAAGGAGATAAAAAGAATTTCGGATCCGAAACGACTTGTGAATGAGACTCATCCACGTGCCAAACACTGGTATCCGCTCTATAAAAGGAATGTTAGTGAATTAGGTGGCCAGTTTATTTCATACGTGGCGTTATTTTTGCAAGGTTTGCTGAAATTTTACTGTCTAAAGGTAAATAGTACTCCTTAAAGACTACAGCGAGCCTCGTGATTAGACAGCAAGCTTGCGAGCGACACCCTTATGTTCTTTAAAAAATCTGAAGCGGAAATGCTGAAAAATCAAATGTAACAAGGAAGAAAAATCGAAATCCACCACAAGCACTCTAGATTAATTCTCACAAGAGGCTTATTACTTCCTTGCTTAGGCAAATCCATCTGCATAGCTTAGAAGAAAAAGCAGGGTTTTATATTTCTTGTTCATATTCTGCTTCTTTATTACTTACCTACTTGATATTTTTGATACTTGAACGATTTCAAAATTTTCTTCCACGACACGAACATCTTTGAATGACGATTCAGTTGATTTTTCCTGGATTTCTAAGATAGCCGTCCACTCGACCCGGAGGAATGAATTCTTTGAGAGCCTTTGGCCGGGTCTAGACAGCGCCCGAATTGGTTGAGCTTTCCGCATAGTGATTGGCATCACGACATTACCACTGTGGTACCCGTGCCTTAGTTTTGAACAATGTTCATATCAATGAATGTTGATTTAGGGCTTGCTATTGTCACGCACTAGCCGGTTAGTTAGTAGCGAGGCTGTATAGAACAACTACAGCTGGCGTATAATGTTAGTTAAACTTAGGCATTCATTTTTTATAACTGAGAGTAGGTTAATCCATGAGGTTGGTTTTTCATTCTGGCGCGTCAATTTGACATATTTTTTCTCCATCTGTATAGGAAAATCCATGCATGAGTCCTTGTTTATAAATGTGCAGGCTGTATTATATAAGACAATTCGTCCAATAAAGTGACTGGAAAGCACAGAGTGATGGTTATGAATCCTTTTCAACGCTCCATGCCTACTCTAGGAGAGGACGGGAAACAATACGTGGGTACATGCAGATAAGTGTTACGCAATTATCTTGGCAATTACCTGCCCCAGAAACGTAAAATAAATGGAATCTCTTTCCATTAACCACGAAAGATACTCCATATCGCGAAAACCGTGGACATTATTTTGAACCAGCAGAACACCTGTAGTGTGTCAAATTGAAACCCACGAATTGGAATGGAGCAAGCGGTTTGAGAAACTCACTTTTTACGTTTATCAGTAAAACCAGCGCTACCCGTGGTTGCTCAAAATTCCAGAAGACCCACTCTCTGCGTTAGACGATGAAAGCTCCTAGCAGAGAGTGACAAACCGAAATAGACGACAGCATAATAAATTGGAAATTTTGTATAACCGAAGTCGCTGTTGTTTTAAAAATTTAACCCTATCGGACTTCCTGTGGGTTTCTTCTTTTGCAGAAAGGACGGAAAAATACGAAATTCATTGGAGCAAAACCCTAAACTATTGCAAACTCGGGTTTGAGCGATCGTTAGTCGGCTTTTTCCATAATAAGCTGCACGGAAGCTCTGTATAGAAAGGCCAGAATGGAGATAGTAAAAATCAGAGAAAAGCAGAAATGGCTGATGCTGAAAGGTAGAAAGAGCATTGGCAGTACAGCCCGAAACTTTGCTGATTATGAGTCTTAAATGGTCACCCTTTCGACGATCAAATGAAACAGTCACGGCTTCCATAAAGACTAGTGCGAAAATCATTCCCAATTTCTACTCTGATCCCTTTAACACAAACGTCCTCCTGCCTTCGTATGAGATTACGTAGGACGATTATGCAGTCCCAGCGGTTTCCCATCCGAAATGTTTCCTGCTTTCCCATCAGGAGGCAACCGAGAGAGAAGAACTACCGCAAGCTTTCACCAGCACGTTAGCTCAACTCTTCACAGGTTACTTGTCATAATGCTACGTTACCACTCAATATAATACAAGCAGGAGCACGTCTTGCACAAGAATGGAAACCGACAAGATATCGGCAACTATCTTTTTTTTTCCTTTTTTCCTGTCTGTTGTTTTCAAATTTTTCACTAGGATCATAACGATATACTGGGAAAAGAAGCACAATAATGTGATGAGGCAGGGTTTGGGCGATTATGGATGTTACTGAAATTCTGCGAAAGAGTAAAACACAGCTTTGTTTCAACATTATCCGCTTGGAAATGTCGTAGGAAAGCCAGTACATCCAGGAAATCACTGCCTCAGCATATAAAACATCTTCCAATTCCTCAGCCAGCGCATTGTCATTCTAACAAAGGCATTAACACTGTCGTGAACATAGGGAGTCGTCAGATGATACAATCTCGCTAAAATTAGTTATTGCCACCCTCAAAACGCCATGCGAAAATTGAAATAAGATAGTTCCTAGGATCGACTTTCTATCAACCTCGGCAGTGGAATATGAATGCGTCGTTCAGCAATCGCGAGGTTGTTAAACAGCATACATTTACTTCCATAGAAAAACACAATACAATACAACGCTAGCTGACGTTTCGGCAGAATCGTCTTCTTCAGAACCTGGAAGGGTATACTGATATAAATCTACTAGGCCAAACGCTTCAATAACACAAAAAGACGAAAAACTCTATGGTAACTACACGATCAACAGCTTCTCGAAAAACTCACCGCTTTTTATGTGACCTCCAATGAGGAAGATTAGAACTGCTGATTATAGACGCATATGGTTGATGGCTGCCTACCATACCACATCAGAAATTGATGCGAACATGCGGAGTTAGGTCGGGTATGACCTCTGGGCATTCATCCCTGCTATGAAATAAGATTAATACGACGGTGGAAACTCATATTCAGCAATCACGCCATGTTCTCCTTGTTAATGACACCATTGTTATAAGATCGAACGTTGGTTCTAGAAAACGAATTCCCGCAGATATTATAACGTCGAGCTTTAGCCAGAAAGATCGAATGCTGGCAGATTTGACAACAATTGTGGAAAGATTGATCCTCGATTACGTTGGAAGGAATGATTGTCTTCGAACGTTACAACAATGTACATCTGGGTCGAAAAAACAACGACTTATGCCTAGAGCAAAGCAGGAGGAAACGAGCAGATTACGGAGTATTCAGCGGTGAGAGTATATCCCATATCATAGCGGTCCGCAACGGGATCCGTTGTTTCGACATCCTTGTCGACATGCTAAGGATTAGAGACTTTCCCATACACTGCGCTGGTCACATGATACGTCCTTACACCAATCCCTCTTAGCTAGTGGTTCGCTCGGGTTGCCAAGCTCACAACAGGAAGACCATTGAACGGATGATCAGAATTCTTCAAGAAGATCTTAGAACAAAGGTATGGCTCTCAATGGGTCTGTGAAGAGAGCAGGGCTCACTAGCTTTCCGTGCACACAACAGTGACAAACGAGGACTTTACTGACGTTTGCTCGAGATATTCGACGATCATCGGGGAACAAACGATGTAGGTGATGAGTTAGATGATCTTTTCTTTCAATTATAAGGAATCGATTTTAGGTTTTTGTTTTCAGTCAAGTAGAAGATGAAATGTGTGCAATCACTCTATAACTGCTTGGGTGACCTTTAATAATTTTCACCTAAGATTTATCTTTGCGAACACCGAACTGGCCAGAATCACCTGATTTTAAGAAAGTCGTGAGAACCCGCAATCTATCCTTTCTCATCTTCCTTGAAAATATTCTTTTTTTGTACCTACGTGTCTTGATGCTCATTCTTCCTAATAGTTCACTGTTCCGTTGATGAGCAAATAAGAGGTTGTTACTTTATTCCTCACTATTGTAAAGCTGACATTTCAGCAGATTTCGCCATCATCAGACTCTAGAAAGGTCAAGTTGCCTGTAGTCTACAACCAGGCAAAGAAAGTACTAAACTAAGATTTCAGTCACATTGAAAACGAAACACGTTTTTCACACACTTACCGCTTCCTATAAGTCTGCCACTGAGTACGTCACGTGTTGACCAAACTCACAGAATCGAGAACACAAGCGCGCAAAACTCTAGAGGCATTCAGGATTAAATCCAAGAAACCGAAAATAAACCGCAGGGGGAGTGCCTTGTTATCACGCGTGATATTGGGCACTATATAAGCCTGTTATTTTGATGAGATGGGCACAAAACGATTCCGTGTGAACTCTGTGCGGTTGGTCTCCACGTGACATATTTAGTGGAAGACTCATAGAAAGAGGTGAGTGTACAAGGATTCTGTGTTCAATGTGATTGAAATTTTGGTCCAGCTTTTTCTCTGTTTGGTTATCGAGGTGTTTGGCCGTGTAAATTGTAGTCAACCTAACTTTTCCAGGCTCTGAGAAAGGCGAAATTCGCCGAAACCTCAACTTGTACGTAAATAAAGAAATAAAATAACACCTCTTGTTTGCTGAACAGAAGTAGAAAGAATTATTCAACCTCACAGAGTTCATGTGGAATGTGCCTCTCACATTAAAATATCAGTCTTAAGTACTGTGTGAGACTACCCGTGATTATGAGGCATTTTTCCCTTATCATTTTCGGGTTCATGAAATTTACCCAGAATGCCTCGAGAGTTTTGCGCGCTGCGCGTTAATAGAAAGTGAGACGTGGGAATTACCACAAGACATTTTAACAGTGGTTAAATAATGACAATGTATAGCTGCTCTCAGCAGTGTATAATAAAAGTAAAATATCATGAAAGAGTGAAAGAAAAAAAATCGGTTTTCGTAACTTCTTAATGCCTTGCATAGTCGGTTTAAATTCTCGATCGAATCATGTGCTATATTGACATTAGATATTCTCTCGTGCAATGTAGCAGAGCTGTTTTGTGCCCGAATATAAACAGTATGAGTTTTCAGGGTAGCAGATTTTTCGAGAATTCACGAATGAGAGTGTGCGTCGTCGGTGCGGCAGCATCCGGCCTTCCTTCAATTAAGGCCTGTCTAGAGAACGGCATTGACGTCATCTGCTACGAAAAAACCTCTGATATTGGAGGTCTATGGAATTATCGACCTGATGAGAAAAATGTGAATTTGCATCAAGCATCTAATGAATAGCTTCATTGAAATACAAAGCGCGTTCACTATTTTACCTATCACATGGTTCTAACCAACTATTGAGAAGGGGCCAATAGCACAGTGGTAGTGATGTCTTTCATCACGAGCATAGTGCCAGGTCGAGTCCGTTCCGGGCCATTAAAGCCTCTCATCCCTCTGGGATCAGGAAATTGGTACAGGACTTGTCTGGAAAAAAACCACTCTGCAATTGAATTGGGAACGCTCCAGCCCGGCTATCCCAGGACTCCAGGGAGAATTGCTCGACCAGCATTCTACGACATTCAAAATAAAACGGAAATCCTCAAGCAGCAACCGAAGCCGCATGTAAAAGTTAGAAGACCTTCGTGGATAATGGATGCGGGGAAACGAATCCAATTTGAGAAGTGCTGGGAACCGCACAGTAGACGCGAAGACGGATCAAATGAAATAAAAATAAAAAATCAACTATTGCGACTATGCAGTAAAAGTCATGCGAAATGTTTCATTATAAAAGATCTGGGCAAACAAATGCATTGTTAGGTCAATATGAGGTCTTGCGAAAAGTACGGCTTGTTCACTAGATCCTTAATGAATATGCACTCATGAAAGAAAAAGTTTAGATTGGAGGAACGGTCATGGCGACCACGGTTGTAAACACGTCCAAAGAAATGATGGCTTACTCGGACTTCCCTCCACCAGAAGATTGGCCTAATTTTATGCATCATTCAAAGGTTTTGTCTTTCTTCATTATCATTGTACTAGCTTATTCATTGTGAATCATCAAGTCCTAGTCCGGTTCACTAAGTACCATCTTTTAAATGTTTACTCATTATTTAGGTCAATGAATATCTGCATTTGTACGCTGATCACTACCACTTGAAGGATTACATTAAATTCAATACAGCTGTGAAATACGTTAGTTTCAATTGTTTTCATGTTTAATGCAGTGCTTGTGCCTCTTGAAGCCTAGCTAATAGCAAAACTATGCTACGATAGACCTCAGCAGGAAAAGTGGTTTTATTTTTGCAATAACATCAAAAATAACAGACTTCGAGTCAAAAGTCTGATAACCATTATTTTCCTCGACCAAGCGAAGCTCAACTACTCAAAGCTATGGCGCGCGACAGGTACAAATGTTGATTTTACTGAGGCCTTGTCGAATTTCTCGACGATTGCCAAGATTCAAGGTGACAAAAATGACGACGTTGTACATCTCCATGAGTCCCCATTCTCATACGAGCGCTTATATTTCAACTTTGGACAAATCCTCCATGTACAGCTTGTAATGCGATTTGCTAAATTCAATGAGCTGATCGACCTCACTTAATTATGGAAATAATCTGTAAGCTTTTCCTCTTAGTTTTATCACCGGATGGTGCAAAATCTTAAGCAGAAACAGTTCTATCGGTAGCATGCTTCCAATGCCTTTCATATTTTTAAGCTTATATGATATCATCTGTCTCACCTGTTGTTCCGTTGGGGTTCGAGTGACCTGAGCGGGCGCCAGTAAATCTTCCATTTCTCTCTGTCGCGTGCGAGTGTAACCGACTGGGTTTTGCTCGCTCTAGCGACTCGTTGGGCATCATGTCTTTCTTATAGAGTTTTCGTGTATTTTTTGTGTATAACTCTGACTCCGACTTAAATGACATACTGATAAGCAAAACCAGCGTCATGATGCCAGAAATCGGTAGATTATATGTCAACACAGATCACCGAGGAAAAATCATCTTTCAAAGTACAGTTAGAAAATGGAGAAGTTGAACACTTTGACAAGGTTATTCTTTGCACTGGACATCATGCCGCGCCATATCATCCACAGCTGAGAGGTACAGTTTTCTTTTGGATCTGAAAGTCTCTCTTTCATGTTGGAGCTTTTGGCATTTTCTATTGAAGAAACTTTTTTATTCCCCACCTGCTCTTACAGCACTACTGGAAGCGGTATATTTTGTTTCATTAATCGAGTTTGTAGCTGAAAATTCTTTTTTATCATCGTACTTTTTCATTTCTTGAAAATACAAAATAGTGACCAAACTGCGTATTGCAATGGGTCAAATCTGATTTATTATATAAAATATCTTCTAGTTTTTTCTTCTCAGCTACAGTCGACACATAGTTGCAAAACAAGCTGAAAATAGCACCAATGTCGCTGTGGCGAAAAGTCAGCGTCGAGTCAGATTTTTAGCTCAAATTATTGAATAAAAGAAAAATTTCCCTAAACTTTTTTCAGTCTATGTAATCAATAATTACAGACGTCGATAAATTCAAAGGACGTATCATGCATGCTCATGAATATCGTGACATAAAGGGATTTGAGGGAAGGAACGTCGTTCTTCTCGGGATAGGAAACTCCGCTCTGGATATCGCAGTTGATCTTGCGAAAATCGCCAAGTCGGTACTGTTTTAAGTAACATACTTGGAGAATTCGTTGAATATCTGTTGCATTCAGATGAAACTTTAGTGATCGCTCGAGCAAATCGAATGCTGCATTTTCGTTGATGGCCCTCAAAATTTTCATCAGTTTTGCAAAGATTTATGGAAAATTGCAACACTTCAAGAACCAACTTAAATCTACGTCAAATTTGTGTTACAGTAGCTTGCAACCAGTCTTTTTGACTGGTGTACTTTGTATTGTTGGAGAGAACGTACTTTATTGCTCATTTATGTATAGAGAAATTAACAGTTCGAACTTTAGAAAAGCTTGGCAAGATATTTCCATCGTTTACTAAAATCTAAGCAATATAATGAAGTGAGTGAACGGCGTGGAATCGGATAGCACAGTGCTAACGATGCCGACCATCATGAGCACGGTGCTGGTTCGATCCCGCTCCGGTCTCACCTTTTAAAAAGTATAGAAATAATGACAGAATGCAATAATCTCTAGTCTAAACTTCTTACTGTAGATTTCTCCAAATTGCTTATGGTTCAATTTACACGTATGTACTAACTTTTAGCCCTTAGCTTTAGCTAAGAGAACATTTAGGTGACGATATCCACAAGACGGGGAACGTGGATCTTCAACAAGGTAGCGGCTGGCGGGATGCCTTACGACACTCTTTATATGACGAGGTAACCACCAGTATGACTCTGCTTGTTCTTGATGCTTCTAGTTGACTGGATTATGTTCACTATATTCATGAAGTTTTTCCACTTCCGAAGTCTTTTTAAGGTACTATAAATGGCTGATGGACAGTGTTCCATGGACAATAGCTAACGATTTCATGGAGCATTTAGTGCAACAAAGAATGGACCATGAATTATATGGACTTCGGCCAAACCACAGGTTAATTTTTACTCTTTTACTTATTAAAAGCAAAATTTATGAAAATAACATTTGCGTCGGGTAACGCGGTGGTTAGAAGTTCCTTACAATACACATGTGGTCACGGTTTCATACATGATCGCTTTGGATAAACCAAGTCTTTCATCTCCGTTGTTCGTAAATTGGTACCAAATATCTCTTGGGGTAAAACATTGACCTGATACATGGGTAAGCACATGTGTGCCAGTGTATGTGCCGAATATGTTTCCAATTGCCGCTGCGATGTCTAATGTAGTCGAAATCGCGGCCCGCTCCTAAAGTAATGATCAGCACCAAAACTTTATCCTTTATCATCCCAGCATTGACGCTTTCTGTGGAATAGTTTTCAGCACAAATTTATTATGGATTACTTGAATGGTTGTTGAAAGTTAACATTTAGCGCTAAAAAACTTAACGATTACAGGTGAAAAAGGTGTGAGAGTAATAGAAATTGTAAGTGTGGATATGTTCTTCCATACAAAACAACAGGGCTTCCACACATATCAAGCGAATCTCTTTTTACGTATAAAACAAGTATGCCATATTACTTATTTCTTGAGGTTCTTCCAACAACACCCAACAGTCAACGACGCCGTCGCGAATCTCATTTGCTCCGGACTCATCACCGTTGCCGTATGTGGACGGCTTTCTTTTGATCTATAAGCTAAGTCGCCATTAAACAAAATTCACAATGCAGTGTTTCCTGACATATTTTGTGATTCGATCAATTCAGTGCTGTTTCTAATCCAAGCCGCCTCTTCTAGTGATGCAAAGGCATTAAACATCCGTTCTGCAAAAATAATTTCTCGGAAACAAATTCTTTGAAGCTATCCTTTTCTTCAAAAACGATCGTTTTCGTTGAAGGACGATGTTGATACGTTTACTGCTGATAAGGTGATAGTGAAAAACGGTAGAAGCTTCGACTGCGATGTGTTTATCACATGCACCGGATATGTTATTGGGTTTCCTTTCCTGGATCCGAAAATCCTGACAATCGAGGTGTGTTTCCTACAATACACACCATAATTCTCTGCACTTACAGATTATAACATGATAAAGTTTATGGAAAATTCAACGAAATTCTATATACGAAAATGACCAGTAGTTTAGCAGAACGAGGTGTCGTTGTATAAGTTCGTATTCTCCCCAAACAATGAAAATTTGGCCGTGATTGGAATGATTCAACCAATTGGAAGCATTTTACCGATTTCAGAGATCCAGGTAAATCAACAAGTTTTGGCTCATACTTTATCTTTCTACGTCAATGGAGCAATTCATGACAATGGTTCTTTTTTCGAAATTATCATGGCTATATAGAAAACGTCGTAGTGAGAAGCACAGACAAAATTGCTTCATTTAAACCGCACACTCTAAATCAAATATAATGTGCTCTAGATGGGTCGATTTCAACGTTTGACGCTTCTATTTTTATCTAACCCACCATTTTGAACTTCGCTCCAATTTTACCGTTTCTTCTTATTTTATACCTATTTACGCTGTTTACGCTTACGCTCTGCTTTGAATCTAACACTGGTGAATGAGTGTTGAGTCAACTAATCTTATGATTTTCTAGACTTTTTATCAGAATGCAGCAAACCTTCATGCAATACGGAAGATTGAGCGACGGCGGCCTGTGGTGCGACCTGGAAGCACTGTAGTACTCCTTCCAAGGAGGTTAGAGAAAATATCGAAAAGCCCTGAGGAAAGAAGAGCACAAACATGACAACTGCTCAAGCCGCGGCCAAATTCATACACGGACTCGACCAGTATAAGTAACGGTTGTAGCATACCGAAACGAAAAGCTGATGAGCTGGAATTCCTCCTACCTCGCTTCTCCACGACATGTGAATATGGCTCACATACGTTTCTAAGACTAATTTAAATTATATTTGTAACTCTGGATGAAGGAAGTAATTCCGGAGGCAGAAATACTTGAATAAGTCTGTTAAATAACATATAACAAGCACTTAAGTCAAAATGGAAAGTTGTAAAGACGATAAATAGGTACGTAGGCTCGGTGTTTCTTGGCGCAACAGAGGGACCAATTTCTCTAACACATTGTGAGATGCGATGAGAAGTGGCCGCCGTGAGACAACGACGACGCTCAGCGCACTGGTAGGACAGTGATTGAAGTTTTCTCCGATATGCACTATGGGAGGACATAATAAAAGTTTCACAGAAGATATAGTGAAGAAGTGATCCAACAACTTCTGGATTCCTGTCAGTACCATAAATGCACCACTGTTTTGGTGGAATCGAAGAAATGCGTCGATAAAGGCAACGCCTACAACCGGTGTTGACTGGTCGAAAAGAGCTCGCTCCGAAACGCGAGAACGTCCGAGGACAACAAATATATTACAAAATTCGAAGAATAGGATGCCCAACAATACTTTACTAACCATGTTCATCAGATCTTTCGCAGACCAGCTGCTATATTATCAAATACCTTAACAACTATCGCTCAGTGATCTATAATATTAAACTCTCTGCTGAAGAAAGCTGTGGACTCCTTACCCCTGGGAACCAAATATTTGTCATACGTAGAGTATATAAAACCGTATCTGGTTTTCGAAACTGTGTAGATTACATTTCTTTTTGGATTTTGATAGATAAGCTTTGCTATAAGCTAAGATGTTTGTAATGAAGGTAATGCGTAGGAATTCATATTATTTTTCTTTCCACTCATTAATACATTTGTCAAGTTATGCAGTGATTTCAATAAATAATTTAACCCATAGCGCTCCGAATGGACACTATAGCGTCCATATTGAGTTTAGTGGGGGGCAGGGTTTTTTTAAAGCACTATGTATACTCATTTAGTAGCTAATCGAAAGCAAATCAAAATTGGAGGTGGGAGACTAGAAAAATCATTCACTGCAGTTAAAAAATTTCCTCTCGAAAATGTTCATTGACCGATAATTTGAATAAAAATTAAGTGTTTCTTCATTTCTATCGTTGCAGTCATGGTATAGAATGTGTGAATACAGAAAGACATCCAAAAGGTTTTGTTATAGATCACAAAATACTGTAAAGTGCTAACATCAATGCATTTACATAATGCACTGTAGTAACTTGCCTTCTTGAATACTTTATAACCTGTCTTCACTGGTTGTGGAGGCCCCAGCATATTCCACTCGTTTCTCTCTTGGGCAACCGTCGTTCATGATGGTGGTCTGCTTCGAAAATAGCGAAGTTTATGAGGGCCATTCCATAATACTGAAATCGTTGCCATCTGCAAGTGCAGATGGCTGACGTTAGCCACGAACACATTCGCCCATCGCTTGCGTTGTCTTACAAGAGGACGCGTGCATTCTTTTTAGAGCCCACTGCGCAGTTCTTTTCGTCCATCTGTTGCCTGTTCTTCTTATTATATGATCGACCCACATATGCTTCGCTATTGATGTTTGCCCTCCTAGATACCGAAGATGGGATTTGTTTAGAATCCTGAGCTGTGCATTCCGGATAAACGTTGTCAGTACCGACCAAATTTCAGAACACATCGTTAAAGCGCTCTGCGAGTAGTACGCAGTATTCCTGATGTGGGTGAAGTATCAGCCCACGTCTCTGGATCATAACACGGCTGAATCGAAAAGCTGGGCCTGGAGTTTTGGGTCCGTTGTTGGTCCTTTGTTTTTATAAGCCCATGCTGATCTTCTTCTGCTGTCTAATTCTCCTTTCATGTTGCTCTCTATATTCATTGATCGTCCAACGTGTGCGTACAAGATGGTTTTTGTTGTCAGAGAACCATCCAGTTTGAGTTCTTCACTTTCGCACCATAGTTCTTCATTTTATTTGTGCACAATCCAATCTCTTTCCGGTCATCGTTGAGTCGACTGAGTATCGTCTCTACTATAATGGCGCTCCTCGAAAAAATTACGATGCCACCAGCAAAAGGATGATTTGATAGGAATTTCCCATCCATTTTCATGCCTTCCTAGTCCCAATCGAGTGACTTCATTATCCACTGCAGCGCGGCAGTAAACACTTATGGTGATGCTGTGTCATCTTGTCGAACCTCTTCTCGTTTGGGTATGGTGAGCAGTCTAGGAAAAAAGCTGTATTTCTGTGCTGAATTTAGATAAAAGTTTGCTAGTGTTCAAAAAAAAGTGGTGGGTGTTCAACAAAGCAAACGCCTTCGACATTTAATTACGAAAATCTCCTTCCACGAGTGATAACTGTTCCGTCATCTAGCTGACGCATGACGGCTTTCCTGCTTATTGTCTCTTATAGGGCGATCACATAGAATTTGATGCGATCAGCAGCTTCAAAGAGAACGTTAATGTTCGGCGTCTGAACAGACTGTTCTGAAGTTATATGCGCAAAGCAAGAAAAGGTCTCTATGGCATGCCGTGGGCTTTCTCGTTTTGTCCCTTTCCACCGATATCTTGTTCAACCAGATTTTTGATCACCTCTCACTGGTCCTCTCACCGCCCAACGTCGTAGAAAGTAGCCCTCAGTGTGCGGGGTACTGAGGCGAGAATTTTGTGCTGGTCTAACCATTGTGGTTTTCTAAAGACACAAGGTCAGCCTGGAAGAAGCCTTCCTGCTATGGGTGTGAATGATATATATATATATATATATATATATATATATCATTCACACCCATAGCAGGAAGGCTTCTTCCAGGCTGACCTTGTGTCTTTAGAAAACCACAATGNTATATATATATATATATATATATATATATATATATATATATATATATCATTCACACCCATAGCACAATAGCGCAAAGGCTACAATTCTGTCATGTCCATAACCTCTATGGTACTCCAGTTATTAAAAGAATATTTCAAATGTTCAAGTACCAGAAAGTTTCCAGCCGACGAAAAATTGCTCGTAATCGGTTGGACCTGCGGCGAACTACGGTGGCCAAGCGTTATGGATTAAATAAAACTGGCAGGAGTAGGCAATGCAATGATAGTGGTCCCGCTCATTACGTGTGGTCCAACCTACGAATGAGCTGGTCGGAACCCACTTTGAGCTCACCAAACGTTTCATCCTTCTGGAAAATAGTACCAGATTTGTTGAAAGCTGCTTATTGCTGCAATGCGAGTGAGAACGTCTAGCTGCCTTAGGATTCCAAAAAAATTAATGCGGTACTCGTGGCGAAAACGAAAAGTCGTAGCGAAGTACCGAAAGCTACATGCAAGAACGTTCTAAGACCTTCGTCGATGGTGGATGCGAGGAAATGAGTCGAATGCAAGAAGTGCCTGCGAGTGTCCGCATAGTAGGTGTAATAACTGGTTATGTAATAATAATAATTGTAATAACAACGGCAATAGTAATGAGACGGTAATAATAAAGCAATAAGTTTATAAATAAAAGTGCTGCACTTAGCAGTTTATTTTTTTGCCGATTTATTGAAATTGTCGACGTTAATCTAAAAACCACCGTCGTCGCGAATGTTTGAAAACATTTACTGTTAGGTGAATTAAGGCACGATGGGTAGCACAAGTCTTCATGGGAAAGCTATCACTGCCTTCAAAAGAAGCCATGTTAGTAGACATTGAGATGAAGAGGAAAGAAATGAAACGTAGATACTTCAAGAGCGAAAAGCATACAATCCAGGTAAGAGTGGTGACTGAAATGAAACCATCTTGTACCACTGAAAGCGCCGTTTTATAGCTTCATTTCTTTTATTTCAGGTGGATTATATTAAATACATGGACGAAATTGCCATGCTTGTTGGATGCAAACCTGATCTTTGGAAGGTGAGAGGGCCGTTTGAGAAATTTCCGCGTTAATGTATCGCCAAGAAAATCCAATTTAAAACAGCGAAGTTAATGTTGAGAGCCGGACGAGATATCCATTTGGTCATGGGGTCACAATGACTACCATCGTGCTCTAGACAATACTATGAACTATCTAAGCCACTCAGCAGTATAGCTTCTTTCAAACCAGGATTAGACACTGCGATAAACTGGACGAAAATGAGATGTACATAATTCTAGAGCGAAAAACTGGTGGTTCTCAATTTTTGAAAAGGATTTACTTAAATGTTTCACATATTCAATCGCGAAAAGAGTGAGAAGTCCGTTAAAATTGCCACATAACGCCCATTACTTAACTTTGCGTGTCTGGCGCATCAAACGATGCTTAATGTCAGGTTTTTGCGGAGTCGCTGGTTTTTCAACGATAGACGGTAACTTTTCTATAACTAGAGGTCTTAGGAAACTGAGGAAATCACAGAATTACAGAAGGACCTTACCCTGTTGATCTAAAGGTATGCGAGGTGTGTGTGTTGCAGTTTTCTGTGTGTTGTTACGTTCTAATAAGGGCGCGTGTGGAGCAATGGTCGGAAGCGCCCTGCAACACACGTGGAATCGATCCCGGCGCCCATGGCTCGCCCAGCCCTCCATCTCTCCTTGGTCTGCAAATTGGTACCAGACTTGTTTGAGAGGATAGCAGCACTGGCCCGATACATCGGTACACTACCGCGAGTCATTGTAAAGACCATATATGCATTCAATCACCTTCAAAGGATGCTTAATGAAGTCGAATGCACGGCGCATCCCTCAGAGATTGATCCACGGCGGGAGCTTCATCCTTCATCCTTCATTATGTTCCATCATACAATGATATTGATTTTAGTACTTGGAAGAGTTTTTCAGCTTTCCTGAGACTATTTCTCTATTGTTTATACACGCCTATTTCATAGGATAATCTTTATAAATCAAAGCAGTTAGAATGAGCTTAGGTTGCGCAAATAAACCTTTCAACTAAAGACATCTTTTGTTTTTCAGATATTCTTTTCCGACCCGAAATTCGCTTGGCGTCTTTTCATGGGAGCTAATGCACCTTATGTCTATCGTCTGATGGGACCGAATAAATGGGATGGCGCTGAGAATGCCATACGCACTATTCCAAACCGTGTAAAGAGACCGTTGAAAGCGCGGAACTGCAGGACGCGGAAATACAAACGCCGTGGAGTTCTTGTCAGTTTGTAAATATTTGTGCATTTAGAGCAAATGTATTGTTTCGTCGTTAGCTCGGCATACCAGAGGCCGGTGTTTCTATCACGTGATCCAGCGAGATTGCCTTTCAGGATGAGTACTTCCGCTACATGAGCATGAAATGGATTGCCGGTTGGTCGGTCATAATCTTCGTTACCGGCCTCAGTGTTCTCTGTTCGGGTACGGCAGGCATGTCTTTGTTATCATACTGCATCTACACAGCATGCTTCTTCGTACTGTTCTCGTTTATGTTGTTGTGGTTCGACATGCAGTACAATATGACCACTATTTTATGAGATATTAGTGTGTACTGGATTCTAGTTTTCTATTATAGAGGTTCTGTGTTCTAGAGGTTTATCTTAGTGAATCTAGTTCTGTTGTTTTTCCAAGATGGTGCTAAATTTCATATTCGAGTGCCTTCCAGTAATCGCATGCCCATGCTTCACTTCAATAGCGTTCTTTCAGATTTCTTATCATCATTAAATATGTTCATTAATAAACTGACCGGAGTTAGTGGGAGATTCTTGAGTGAAGTTTCCTAATGTCATACTTTTAATAGCGAGAAAAACCCGTGAGGGTGTTTTACAAAGAAGTGAAGCCTCCATGGACTCGACCATGCTTTATAACGAATGATTCAACAGCGTGACCGAGCAGTAGTGAATGAGATTCATCCGAGCAGTCGCTTACTATGCAAGAGAGTGTAAGAACCTAAACTTGCTCGTCGGACCACCAAAAATCAGCAGTGGTAAAAAGCCAGGACTGGAAGACAGAGAGTGGTAACGCAGTCGCTGATCCAATCCGATAACGAAGCCTTTAACAATTAGGGACCGCTGGTGAGCTGACTTCCACTCCCGCTGTGGGGAAAATACGATCCCTTTCAACTTTAAACCAACATGTCTTAACTCAAAGTGAACTTTGCTTATTGCAACAGGGAGCACTACAATCGAAACATACAGGACCTCTTATTCTGCCATGATTAAGTCTTGATTTTATGAAGCCCAAGAACCATACTCTCGTTTCTCGTCATTATTTTTTCGTCGAGGTTCGTAATTTAAAAGTGAAGCAATGTACACACTGTATTTTGTCCATTAGAATACAATAGTGTCCCAAATACGTTGCTGATGCCTGCGGCTGCTGGGATTTTGTCTCAAGTTTTAAAAACTTAAGTTTCGTTCTCTTTTTGAAAATTTGATTCTAAACAAGTCTTCCAAGTCAAATAACAGTTTTAAAGAACTCTACTTATATATGGAGGGCTGAAGCTCTTTTCTTTGAGCCTACAACGTTTTTAACTCTTTAAGTATTCTTGTTAAAGTTCCTCAGCAGTTTGCGGAAAACCACTTTCGGTCCCTCTGCGTTACTTAATAACGTTTCCCCTTTTTCATTCACTATTTTTTATCAGATGATCCGAAACCACTTGTATCATAATGTGCTAAAGTCGAAACTTCTTACACTCGATTCATTTCCGTCATCCACCATTCACGAAGGTCTTTGAACTTCTTTGGATGTGGTTTAGGCTCCTGCTTGAGGATGTTTGTTTTTTCACAGAAGTCGTTGAACGCCTGTCGATTCCATTCTACTTGGAATTGTGAGATGGCCACACTGGAGTGTTTCCACATGTATTGGAAGGAGTGAGCTTATCCAATACACGTTTAATACCAATTTCTTCTGACCCCGCGTGAAGAGTACCGGGTAAAGGCGCCCTACACATTGGATCAATTTCGCACCGCAGGCTTACCAGCTTTTCCGCCCCTCCTGAGTCGGCAAATATATATGAGAACTGTCTCGTAGCATGGCAACACTGACTCGATACATCTTAGACCACTGCGAGTCATTCTATAGTCCAGCTCCGCGTTTTAACGGTGCTTAATGAGGCCTAATGCATGGCCTATCCCTCAAGGATTGATCAACGCCAACAGCTTTGGCCTTTTTTATCTCCCGAACCCGGAACGGCGAGAGGCGTGTTTGACTCTGTGCGCGGTCGAACAGGCGCTTAGGTAGGTTGGACCGTCCGCGTAGTGAACACACTCACTACCACTGCGATACCCTCTCCTTGTTTTATTCTAGCCCAGTTAATAAATTTCATCCATCTGTTATGAGACCGTTCATTTCAGTAACGTAATAGAATTAAGTCCTTGGTAGAAATTTAGTAACATGGAACGGTTATTTAAAACGAAGTGCTTAAGCTTATGAGGTTGCACATCACCAACATATGAACTCAGATAGTTTTAGAAGCTCTCAGAACCCGAGTTGATAGATAGAACACCGTTTTCATGATGAGCAGACACGAGATTGCTAGTACAGCACTTTTTCCATATTGGGTAGGGCGCGAAAGGAAAGGGAGGCGACAACCAAAAGGCGGAAGGAGAGGCGGAACCGCCGAAAAGTCAGCAAGTGTGGAATAAATATAAAGGATAAAGGATAAAGCTCTCGGCGGTGATCAATCCCTGAGGGACGCATTCGACTTCATTAAGTATCGCTTGGAGGTTATTAAATGCATACCTGGCCTTTACAATAACTTACAGTCGCCTACCGATATATCGACCCAGTGCTGCTATCCTCCCAGACAGCTCTGGTACCAATTTGCCGACCCCGGTGGGATGGAACCATGGGCGCGGAGATCGATTCCACGTATGTTGCAGAGCGCTGCCGAGCAACGCGCCACATGCGCCCTATGAGGAATAAATATAGTTTTAATAAATGGAAACAAAGAAAACCACTTAGAATTTATTTCTTAAATTTTTTTGTAAGCATCAACTTTTCTAGGAAATTCTTTCATAAATAATTGAAACACAGTCGAAAACACATTGCAAAGCAGAAAGCAGCAAACGAAATTCAAAACCACGATTTAACCAGTGGAAAACGCATGCAGTAGTAGCAGTAGTGTAAAAAATTCCAAGACAGTTCAATCCCATCTCTCTCTTAGTGAATAGTTTTCTTGGGAATGGTACAACTCTATACGAAAAATGAATGAATTCTTACAAAAATACGAAGTGCTTTGTGCGAACTTATCCAGTAATGGATGCAAAGCAGAATGCTCATTATACCGCGGCGAACATTCTTTGTTTAATCTTACTGTCGCATAATTCATTCTTGGATAACTAAGCTGAAATGAGGTTGATAAAAAGGTTTATTCGGTCAACGTTTCGACGGCTCCGGCTTACTCAGAACCGTGTTGATCCGAGTAGATGGTCCACAACTGGTCGATGTCGCACTGAGTCGAATCCAGTGGAGGGAGCACCGCTCGAATGGCTTACTTCACTCAGCAGTACCCTTTCACACAAAGGACGAATGTTGACCGATTTCCGCCTCCAGTATTATCTGCTTTGAGCGGGAAATGCACCTTGCAGCAGTCGGTATTTTCTTTTTTATATAAAAAGTAATATAAATGCTAGATATTTATTGTCTTTAGGATAAACACTTTATACTTACTACTTGTATAGTGTTTATAATATATTAATGTTTTAAAAAATGTAAATATATTAGCTAGCACATGGCGAAACTAAAATACGTCCTACAATTCCTATAACAACTGCGTATAATTTTTGTTTCCACTTATGGTTTATGAAAATCATCTGCTAGTGACATTTAGATTGTACTAAGAAACGTAAAAAGCTCAGAACAGCTTTTTCGACTGTGCTATCTAACTCAGTTTTGTAAGAACTATACATCTTACCTGGTGTACAGTCCTTCAGTAAACTATGACTCAGTGGTCTTACGTGGAAACTTACATTTTATCCAACCGCATCTGGTTGCACCATCTAGAAAACTTAAGCTTCGTCATACGAACATCGCCCTGTGCAAAAGGAATGTAGACAGCGCCTTCTATTTTCTCTCCACTTTCTTAGGCACTGTTCTAACAGTCTTCACTCTATTCCAGGTTTTTTTACTTCGTGTAGTACTGAAGGTCGGATTTAGACATATCATGTAATTCAATTCAAATTCAATAGCTGAGGTCTTCATTCAAATAAAAGGCACTAAACTCAACCGCACGTTATGCAGTCCTCGTCCTAATCATCGAACCATTAAAGATTATTCCACAACCATATATAATTCACTATATTTATAACCTAGTTCTGTGGTTATTATTTTCCAGCTGATTGCTCAGATGAGGGTCTAGTTACTACAGGGAATTACTACATGACGTGCCAGCAAGATGCTTCCGACTTGTTAAAGAAGCAGTGTCACTAAAACAAAAGATAGTCTTAGCTAGACAACTAACACACTATCTCCTCCACTCCCTACAACACTTTCCGAACTTCGTCAAGCGAAGATGAGTACACGATGTTTGCGGACTACCAGTGAACAGCCACCGAGTACTATATATCGAAATGCAACTACGACGCTCCTGTCTTCGAAGCAAACAAGACCAGATGTTGATGTAAGTGAACAGTATATGATAAAAACCTCGTAGGTGCTAATCAAGAAAATATCGATTTATTCATCAATGCCAACGTTAATAGAGAGCCGGTCTTGGGAATTTGTAGCAAAAGTTTAAGGCTTGGTGCAGCTGCAATGCAACTACACGCTAAATGTAGGACAACTCAACCTGCAGCATCTCTTCTGTAACGTCGGCCCTCATTCATTCGTGTGCTGTTCCCATTTTACACAACGGCACTGATAACAGATGACGTTGAAATGTATCGATCAATTATGAAACTCTTATGCACTGTCCTATTCTTTACCGGTAAGATTGTTCCCATAACGAGTTGATATGTTTCCCATTCACAGATATTTCCTATGTTTTTGTGATTTTGTAGTTAACAGCCTGAGTTATGGAACAGTCAACGGTCTGAATCCGAACTTATGTGATGCAAAGGAAACGATGCAGTGCGACAACTACCAAACTTGCTGTTTGTTTTCTGATGGTCAACACGGTGATTTTGTTATCATTCTCTATAATTCTAATTCTAATTCTAATTCTAATACCTCTTTAAACAAATTTCTAACAACTCTCCTCGTTTTCTATCTCAGGTGAACAATTGGATAACGTCTTACTTCCAAGACGAGTACCAGTACACTTTCGCCTTATGAATTTGTGATTGCCTTTTGTCTTCTAAAATCACGCTTTTCACAGTTGAAAAAGAAGATAGAGCTGTAAAGTGTTATGAATGTAATGCGACCCTTGAGTGAAAGGGTTTGGTAAGGCAAAGGAACGTGCAGCGCAGTGGTCGGGGGCGCTCTACATACGCATAGGATCGATCCCAGCGCCACTGGCCCACTAAGCCTTCTATCACTCCGAGGTCGGCAAATTTGGACCCCACTTGCCTGAATGATAGCAGCACTGACTCGTCGACAC